GCCTAGACATATGCCACAATAAGCAATAAATCAATAAATCAATTAATTGCATGTTAAATTGATATGAGCTCAATCATAATCATTTGCAGGATTTATTTCTATTTTCTGCTCTCTTTCTACCAAAAACTGGATGACAAAAGTTTTCAGTCTTGTGCTTTAGTCTCAACTATCCCCTCCCCCCTTTTTTTTTGAAAGACAAAGACTTCTTAATGTCTTTTTCAAAGCAGTTTGTGTGTGCTGCTGTAATATTCTCTGGCTTTCTGAAGGTGTGCCGGTCACATGCAACATGACCGGCACACATGTTGCATATGCGAAACGTCTGGGAGGGCGAAACAGGAGAAGGAACAGGATTGATTCTGAGCTTTAAATAAACACTCGCTCCTCTCCTCCAGCTGAGTCCACCAGACACGGATATGCCCCACGTGTCACTCAAATCAGCTGCCTGCATGCACCGCCACAGACGGTTTGTGTGGGAGCCAGTTGGCCATACAGATACAAGAGTGACGCCAGCCAACATAAATGGGCGCCTCATCTCCTCTCCAAACTTCAGATTTGGATCGAATTAATAATTGGTGCTGACAAGCAGCCGTGCTTTCTCCTTGAAGTGGCTTGTCTTTCCTTCTTGTGGGTTAAAGCAGCAGAGAGGGGGAAGAAAACGCTGCACTGCAGCCTGTTTTCTTTTTCATGGGAGAGTGGTTTGCACTCTCTCTGCTTGACAAGCTTTGTGAGAAGCAGTGGAGGTGAGAATGCACACAGACACAGAGGGACCGCCGCATCCAGTAACACAAAGCATCTCTCTGCCACCCAGTTTAATTTAATAAAGGCAGGGTGGATGGGGTGGATGTTCCAGGGTCTCCATCCCTTGGTGTAACTTGGAGAGCAAAGTTCAGCCATTTTATTGTACAACTTAGAGTGTTTCCACATGTGATGAACTGAGACCAAAGTTGTAACATTTGTTACATTTTTAACTGGAGAAGTTCAATGTCACACTGCACTGTGTCAAACAAACAATATCTTTTGAAAAGCCTGTTGGCAAGAAATGGCTTGCTATTTTTCATCCAGCATGTTTCTTTTGATTGAATTTACCCACTTCCTGCTTTTGGTGCTATCTGCAGTCCACTTGTCATTCACATTTAAGAAGGCAGTCAGAAATGAACACACCTTTATCCTGCACAATGTCCATTAGTGTAGCTTCACACAGAATATGGCTGAATGGTTACAATATTGAGCCCTTTTAGTATTACATGCCTGGCACAAAATTTTATTAATTCTTCAAGTAGTTCAATGTCTCATATGTATGCTTTTATTTTGAAGTCCTTCCATTTTCAGCAAAGTACAAATGTATCTCAGAGGATGAACAAACATGAGTTATGGTTATTTTGGCCAATTTGTCAAGAGAAAACATGGAGAAAAACATAAATTACGTGTCTGCATGGTTGTTTGAAAGCTCCCTCCCTGTTCTTTCTCTCCCCGTATATCTGGACGCAATTTGCATGCTATCTTTCCTTTCCATTTTCCACGCCTGAATAGCTGGTCTGTTGGTGCCGGCATATCTATTAGCGAGCTGCTGGTGGCTCTGCCGTCTCTCCTCTGACACAGAGATTAACTTTTAGCTGCACTGCTACTGCGTTACATCCTCCAGCCACCGCCTCAACACATTAATGTTATCTCGAAAAAAAAAATGTCTCCCCTCTTCTCTGAAGATTTCCACTGCAGAGGGAAACGTCAAATCTTTCAGTTTTATTAGACTTTTGCCTCTGATGAAAATATTTTGAAAGTAAAATATTTTTGTAGAACTTCGTTCCATTGATGTTACTTACACTGATGTAGATTGTCTGACATCTTGGACATGACAATCCTGAGAGCTTAAATACAAAGCAAATAAACCTGAGCTCCACTAACTGGTCCATTAAGATCACTACTTTAGCCTGTATTCTTGTTTTTGATTGCAAACTCTGTGAATCCAGCTGTAGATACTCATGAAGCAAGCAGCTCAGACCAGTCATCCATGTGACAAGGCGGTCAGTGACTTTCATCAGGATTTTATGCTGCGTTTCTCATCTCAAACTAAAAAGACTAATACAGTGATGAAGACTGTCATTACCCATCGACCAATCAGCAATTAATAATGTAGGCTAAATATGTGATGCCTGTGTTTTTTTTTTTTTTTGACTGGCTCCATATCGACCTTTCTGGATTCTAATGCACAGACCAACAAACTTAACAACTTCAATTATTTGTCAGGGCAACAAATAATTTGTTAGGAGCCCAGCAGATCCTTCTTGAGGGAAAAGGAGTTATGGCAAGTCCATTTAACTGCAGATTAAATTTGCCAGACATTATTAGCATCTCTTCCTTCTTCATTCATAGAATGAAGTTTCATTAAAAAGAAAAAAAAAAAAAGAAGCAAGAAAAATGAGAAAGTCAAGGATACCACTGGTTTGGGTCCAGAATTGGCCAGAGAAAACTAGATTAGACCAGTGAATTTCAAGTCTATCCTGAATGGAGCCAGCCTGGTAAGACAGTGAAACATGTTTGTTCTATGTTTCACTGTGAAGTGAAGTTCTGGGCCCTCCGCTATTGAGAAATGATTTCCTGTGTCCCCATCAGATGATCAGTTTCCACCAGCACAAAAACAAACAAAAAAATTCATAAAATGCACGCAATCTCGGGCAGAGAGAGAGAGAAAAGAAACAAAACTTGTTGGGTCTAAAAGACCCGTCTTAAGATGGTTAATTGCCATCTAGTCCTTCATTAAGAGCTAAGAAATAAGAACGACAATGCACAGGTACAGAAACCTAGAGTGACATTTACAACAACTCCCTCAATAAACCTTCTCCTATTAAGCCTTCAATCCTGTGAAAAGTCGTATCAGCCTTAATAGACCATTGCTATTTTACCAAGGTTTATGTTGAAGACCCTCCATGCCTGACATTAACTCTGTTTGGCTGCTTCACATTGGACTGTATTGGGAGTTTCAAATTAAACCAGCCGCACTGTGTAATATGTATTTGTGAACATGTCAAAGTGTTTGAATGCATAAAATGTTGGTGAATATTTTATCTGAGCTTCTGTGGATTAAACAGATGTCAAACCATCAGCGTGATACAAAACAATTGTGATAAAGAGTAAGGATTTGTGTGTCCTCTGAAATAGTCTGAGTGCTTCATTCAATTTTGAATGAATTGTTTTCATTCTCTCTGCATAATTACAAGTTAACAGAAATAGGAAAAAGAAAATTTACTGATGGGTACAGTAAATTTGATTCAGTTGGATTCATTTCCAACTGAATCAAGGGTTGTTTTAAAATAAAAACAATAAAATTAATTTAAATTAAATAGGTCACCAGCTTTTTGTTTGCAGAGATAGAAATAAATTGTTTCTGGCCAGAATAATGGAGCTAAAGCATTATATACAAAACTTGATTAAGTATATATTTCCATATTTATTGTTTAATGTTTATAGACAGCAATGTCTATAAACAAAAATAAAATAAAATACAAAAATAAAATAAAAATGAAAAACACTGAACTGACATGATGAAATGATAGCATGATAAGTGTTGTTTTCTTAAGGGGTCATCCGCTGTGACCCAATGCGGTCGCACACTTTACCACATGGTTTATCATTTATTTTGTTTCTCATGATCAGAATTTTGATTTATTGTTTCCTCAATAAATTTCAATAAATTGTGTTTTAAAAAGTTACAGCAATGTCAGAAATGTTATTTTTTATCATTTTCTCCAAAGAGCATCAATAAATATAATAATATGGTTCAATAGAGTTACTATGCACAGTTCAGATCACATTTCTTTAAGTCCTAATGGTGACCGTTTCTAATGGGAATGCTTTTCAAGAACTGTGTTTGTGTCACTATAAGTACAGTCACCGCCATATAGTCACCTAAGTAAAAGATTGTTTTTTTATCGTCAGTTTTATTGTTATCACAACAGTACCTCAAAATATTACGATAAAATTCTAAGTCATGTCGCCCAGTCTTAGTGGAAAGTAAAGTTTAATAAATGCAGGCAGCAGCAGCAAAAGTCAACCCCAAGCAAATAGAATATTTACATATTTTGATAGTTTTATGAATCAACTTGCTTGTGATCTCATACAGCCTTTTTTTGTTTTTAGAATATTGGTTTATCTTATTAGATTTATGTAAACTGCCATCTTCAACTCCTGCCCTGACTCTTCTAGCACAAGACACAAGGATCAGTGGGAAAAGCAATGCGTCACCTCTTATCATGGTCCAAATATAGAAATTTAATCTGTGAGGGGTTTCAAGCCAGAGAAAGGGAAAAGAGCAGGGTGCTGGGAGCTCCCCAGGCAAATCTTGTTGTGTAAAATGCAGTTTTTTCCCTCCATATATGTCTCCCTTTTGGCTTCCGTAGTCTGTCTTTGTCTATCTATCTAGTGATTGACTCTGCAGTTATTTCATATTTGTAACAGCAAGGTAGAGAGGTGACAAAAACTGATTAGTGGCAAATAAGGCAACACACAGCAGATATTCACATTGTGTTTCCCTTGCAGTTTCATGAAATATACAAATTTTGATACAGTCGAAAAAACTACCTCATCCGAAGATCAACATTTTTTATTGAAAAATGTGTTTTTCAAAATGTTGTATGTTTCCATTAACCTAATTTATTTTTGTATTACCAATTTGCGCAATTTAACAGAAAACCCCGAAACAGTGGAAATATGTGTACTGTTTTTGCACTCTGTATTTAGCATTAAACTGTACAGTCCAATGTGTAACTGTGGATGTTTAGTGAACAAATCCAACAACTTGAGCGACGAAACAGCTGAATCTGATTGTTTTACTGTTTTCATGTCCTTGACTGAGAAGAGCGGCAGAAAATTAAGGCAGAAAATATACAAAGAACTTTGTGAACAATTTCAGCATTTTGAATTTATTATTCTCAAAGGAACTTGGAAATAAAACCAGCATCGGATGAGGTGACCGACTGTTTACCTGGTTGTTCTTCTTTTGGTAGGTGTTTGGATCAAACCCAGCCGAACATCCAGGATGCGGGAAAAGAGGGCGGACTTTGTGGCAGGATGCCTTGGAGGAAGAGTCATTGTAGCTGGTGGTCTGGGTCAGTATCTCTAAGTTTTCACTCATTATTTTTCTGTTTCTTGGCAGAAAAAAGATATTCTAGCATCATCCTCTTAGCCAAAGTAGATTTGGTTCTCATCACTGAAACCCACTGAAAACCAGTCATTCACAGTCTCTGACCGAGCCCTCTCACTCACCAGAACCTTGTTAACATCAATTTGTTCTTTAATGGTGGTTCAAGTTTTGTTTTCTGGACATAAATCTCATTTCCTTCATCTGCTCTTGTTCACAAAAATCAGCTTCTGTTTCTGTCCGTTCGTCATTTCTCTTGTTGCTATGACATTTCTGCCCAAATGACATTTCTGCCTGTGAATAGACAAAACATGTATTTCTGTTGTAGTTGCACAGATCACAAAAAAAGCATATTTACTCTTGAGGTAGGGTGTTTTCACACCTGGTAACTTGGTGGCTGGGGACCAAAATTGCAACATTTGTTCCATTTTCATTTGGCGCGATTCATTTTCACACTGCACTATATCAAACCCCATGGGACAAAATGTTGACCTTCTCACCTGCGGTGGTGCTGTAACAAGAAGCACTACTGGAAATGACACAAAAACCTCTGAAGAAGACATTGAGTGCAACTTCCTTCTTCACGAAATGTGAAGAAAGATGAAGTGGTGTCAGATTTTAGCAGTGGTAGTTCTGGTGTAAATGCACCCTTAGATATATTTAAGCAACATTTATCCATACTGTGTTTATGTGAAACATTCAGGTATTAGATTATTAATTAGATTTTTTGACATTAGCTGAATATCTCCTGACTTTTGTGCACATTTGCAATATAAATGCAGCTGCTGTTATACCAAGATATTTAACTTAATCTTAAACTCAAATCAGTCAGATTGCCGTCCAATGCATGACCTTTTCTGACACTTTGTTAATTTACCTTCTTTCTTTTGTTTTTGTTGATGTTTTCTCATGGACACAGAGCAACTTCAACATTTTTTTCCTCTTATCTAAAAACGGCCCCTTGATTTTCATTTTTTGACAATGTGTTACAAAGCTACCACCAAGGCAACATTTTTTTTTTTTCCATATTTTGTTTTATTCCTAAAAAGTATCACAGGTTCAGTTGTGCTTTACATTGATTGAAACCTGTCAGATTTGGTTTGCCACATTCACATGAAGGCCTAATGCGCCCGAGCAGCCTCCTCTATTCTTGGAGCTCAGTGTGACGATCAGCCATTCGGTCAGACAGCTGTTCAGATCGTGTGTGTGTGTGTGTGTGTGTGTGTGTGTGTGTGTGTGTGTGTGTGTGTGGGTGTGTGTGTGTGTGTGTGTGTGTGTGTGGGTGTGTGTGTGCGTGTGTGTGTGTATGCGAGCGTTTGAGTAACACATCAGTCTCATCCTGACGAGAGCGACAGAAGACTCAACTAGAGGCTTTGAGAAAAATGGAATGGAATGCATGTGTGTGTGAGTGTGTGTGTGTGAGGTTATTCTAATGGGATATTTTGGGCTTGTGAGACATAAAACATGTTTTTGACATAAAAAATTAAAAGGGAAATTACTTACACTGGTTCCAGCTGTCTCCTGTTCCCTGATCATTCCCTTGTGTATTTAATCTCCCCACTGGATTCTTGTCTTTGTCAAGTCATTGTTCCCCTTCCTGAGTCTGTGTTCTTGTCTCGTTGCTCACCTTTGTTTCCTAGTTTTGAGAACCTTGAGGAGTAGAATAAACTCTTTTCTCTATTTCACCATGGGTCTCACCTCGCCCCTGCTAATCCGATGAAATCTCACAGCTATCTCCTTTGACCAAAGTTATCAGCTAGTATAAGCATTGTTATTAAGTCACCCAACTTCCAGACTCATTTAACGTTAATGTGTTTTCATAATGTCTGTCACTTTTTAAAGAGTGTAATTGAATTTTCAAATTACCATGCCCCAGATACATAGATAAGATATTATATTTGTTCAGGCCTTAATGTGTTTCATGTATAACTATGAGTGACAACTTGATTCATGGACGCAAATTATGATTCCATGCCAGCTGTTCCAGAGGACGGACTGGAGATGCATGTTCATCCATATCATTTTATGAATATATTTATATTATCTGCTGAAGCAAGCCAACATTCAGGACTCATTATTTGTATCTGCTAAACTTTATTTATCTGATTTCTTTCATCATTATTATTACCACCCTAACTTTTCCTTTTTATGACATCTGAAGTTTGTTACATTGGAATATTAACAGAAACCTGCATTGTGAACAAGCTGACAAAAAAGAGGCAGGAATATGTGTTAACTTGTCCTTGTCACCAAGACAACCAAATCTGTCTCTCTGTTTCTATGATGTTGACATAATCTGTGTCAGTGGTTAACTTCAGAGTGCTTCTGTGTTGTTCCTGCATGATACTGTAACATTCACCATGTCAAAGCTGGTTATAACATAAGACGTCTTAAGACATGAGAGTCAGTGAATGTGGAGAACACATTCAGACAAAGTTGATTTAGAATCAAAGCCTAAGAAGAAAAGCCTAATACCCCTCCCTAAAATCTACAGATGGATTTTACAAACTTCCATTCATGACCATTTAGGTTTATTATATTAATGCACCTCAAAAGGAACTCGTAATTCTTCAGTACATCAAGACATTTTGGGAGTGGCCCTTTCTGTGCCTACAGATCTATGAACCAACGGACAAAGCAAAGACAAATGAGAAAATCTGGTCAGGATGAAGTTGACTGGCTTCCACAAACTCCTGACCTCAACATCACAGAACATCTCACCGTATAACAGAGAAACAGTGCAGGCAGATATTTTCCTGGAGATGACCAAAACCTGATTCTCTTTGAATACCAGACATGATTGTATGATTCGTCAACCCTTAGTGGAGTCCGCTAAGGGTTTTTTATAAATGGTAATGGTAAAAGTCCTTTACTGAATGTAGCTTAACTACAGTTAGTCATTCACACATTCATTCACTGGTAGGCTACTGAATTTTGACAAACCTTGTTCGGATGACATCGGGCCCTCTGACCACCACCAGCTGCCTTGCCAGCCTAAGTGTGTTGCCCAAGGAAACAATGGAGACAGACAGAGTGGGGGATCAAACCGGTAACTCAGCTTCCACAAGATGAACTCTTACCACAGTCAGGTGGCTCATTTGGGAGAATATGCTCACCATGTTAAAAGGCAATAGTCTCCTGGGTTCTGTACGTGGTCTCCAGCCATCAGCTGCATGTCTTTCCCTTCTCGCTTTCCCTGTTTCCTGTCTATTTTCTGTACAACACAGGCCAGTAGAGCCTAAAACATCATAAAAAAATTAATAAATTCCCAACTAGAAAACGAACTGCAACAGTCGTCCTTAGCAAGAAAAATGCAGAAGAGACACTGTTCACTTAGTTTGAAGAGTGTAAACTGTTTCGATCAATTTGAAACTTCCCCCATATACAATGTGGCAAATTTTAAAAATGTGCATCAACAACATCATGCAAAAATGACAAATATGAAAAATGTCAATGGATCCATCGAATTAAAACAATAACATAAAGTACTGTATCTTTATGTTTGTATGACATAAGATATCAACACCCTAAAAGAAATAGATAGAAGTTGCTTCCAACTCCTTCATTTGATGGACAGGAATGTGCCTGTCTGTCTATGGTGCTATCTGCTCTGATAATCTAGTGTAGAAGAAAGAAGGAACAGTGATAAAAAGGGAAACAATAACAAAAATTACCTCTAGAAACTGAGTAAAAAATATTGTATATTTTTTAACTCAACAGTGTTTACATGGAGCTTGGTTATTTTGTGGAGATGCACAAGAGAGTAGAAAGTCTAACATTATTCTCAGAAAAGGCAAAGAACACAATAAAAGGAGGGAGAACAATGCAACGGTGGCTGAACGTTGGTGAGGTGACAGACAAAAAAAGACAATTGTGTGAGACGCACAAAGCAGAAACAATAAAGGCAAAGAACAGAAATGAGAGGAGGAGTGTTTGGAAAAAAAGAATAATTGCAGGAAATCAAGTCAGAGGCGGCTGACTGAGAAAATGGGTTAAGAATTGTAAAGTTAAAGACAAGAGTTAAAAACAGAAGCAAAGCAAAGCTGTAAATAAGCAACAGGAAGAAAATGAAAATGAGATAGTGACGTAAACAGCAGTAAAGAAGACGGAGAATAAAGGTCAAAAGAAGGAGAACGGATGGGTGAAGTGACATGACGTCTGTGGGTCGAGAATCAAAGCAGTGATGAAAAGCCTTTGAGCTTCCTGTGGCAAGGTGTTTCTTTGTGTGTGTGTCGTCCAGAGAGAGTGTGTTCATGATAAAGAGGGTGATGGCTGAACGGGCCCGGATCACTTTGAAAAGGCCGCTCCGCCACCACCGCCTTGTTCTTTCAACATGATTATCTTAGTCTGTGACAGACACATGCACACACAATAACCAACCGGGATACGTTATTTGGGGACTTGCTGTGATGTGGGTCTCCATGGAAACAGCAACAACTTAGGTCTGCCTGATGTATAATGACAGAGCGCATTGCTACTAATGTGAGAGAGGAAGGAGAAGGGAAAGAAGGAGAAGGTCAGAACAGACATTTTAAAGACAATAAATACTAAAAACATCTAAATACTGAACATTTCTGAGTTTACTCAGGATCTTATTCCTGCCCATTGTAAGAATATCGAGTTTTATCTCCTAAATCTGCTGTATTGTTATGACCAACATGCTAATACTGATAAGATCCTCCTTTTGAGACAAAAAGGTTTCCTGTTTAGTCATTTCTGTTACAGATCTCTGAAGGTCTGCTGCGGTTTTTGGTCCCAGGCTCTATAGCTGCATTTCTTTCAGCCATAAAATTACACAGATTGGAGTTGTGAACATAAATTTGCTTAATTTTGAAAAAAAAAAAAAAGTTTTTTGATCAAAATGTTTTGATCAAAAACAGTGTGAGTCATTCTTTCAGCCATATCAAAATTGCCGTATTTAGCAAATATGCAATGACCAAATATCATATGACTGACCTCCCACCTCCTCCTGGAACACAAATGGCAACAATATGGAAATGTTAAAAAATTACTAACATCGGCTGAAACTGACGTTGATGCCAATATATTGTGCATCCTTATAAATTATTTGTAATTACAATTTGACAATTTGAACAAATAGGACACATAAAATAATTTCATATAATATGTATTGTTGGATTTTATTAGGGCAGCATTGCTTTTTTTTTCAAGGTAGATCTGAGGGGCTAGAACAAATTTAAAACACTTTTAACAAAATGATGTAATTTTCTAATTGTCCAAAATGTATCTGTCATAGTCAAAAATAAAAATAAAAAAGCTCATAATATCCCTGACACACAATTGTCAGAACACTGGGAGTGTTTAGGCTGCTACACAACTCTAACAATTGGAAATACAGTCAAGGAAACAACTTCAGGACAAACAAACATAGTCCAGCCTAACATCAAAACCTCAACAAACTGAAACCTCTGCAGCTGAGAGCAGGTAGAAACATAAGTGACATAAGTTTGACCTGGCCACTCAGTGCACAGCTAGACAGGGAGAGTATTTTGCTACAACAACAGCAATGTTACAGATCCACAATGTTTTCCAAATGCATCAAAGAAAAACTTTTGCTGTCAATTATACGTCTGCTCTTCTCTGTTGTTCGCTCCTTGCACCAATGTTGATTGGCTCCTTTTCTCTTTGGAGACGAAAGCTTGGCTTTTCTCCAGGAGCCTGGAATACTCAAGCCTGTTGTTTTTTTTAAGGTTAAAAATATCTTGTGCCAAAATTCATAACATGCAGGTTTTAAGATGTTTCCCTGCCAAAAGTGCATCCTGACAGCTGGCAGCACTTCTACTGGAGCTCAAACCTTTTCATTTCATTTGTGTTTAAAATTAATGCCAAATAAAGAAAAAAACAACAAAAGTGCAATGTACAATAGGTACAGTCATTGTAGATTCAGTTTTTGAACTTATAAGTGAATTTAATTTTGTTTCTCAATTCAAACTGAAAATTGATAGTTATGTGTTAAAATGTGATTACAAACCGAACATACTGAAATATGAAACGTGGGATGTTTGATTTGTCTAAATGTGAGATGTTTTTTGTCTTCACACTGAAATATGACAATCTACACTGCAAAAACACAAAGCCTTACCAAGGATTTTTTAGTTTAGTTTTTAGTTCAGATATCTTGGCACATTTGAAATTAGACTAAATTAAATTACAATTAAATCTTTTCAGCAAGATTTAAGAGTCTGTCTTAAATCAATAATTTCTTAATATTGACAAAGAAGTACTAGTTCAATTAGCAGATTGTTTTACTTATTACATGGTCTTGTTATATGTGAGCTAGCATTTTTTTAAATCAACATTAAGGAATTATGAATTCCTTAATTCCTTAAGTATTATTAATTATTAAACAAGCTCCTCTATCTTGCTAGTTTTACCTTATTTCAGATATATGCACTAGAAACTAGTCTAAAATCACTTGGTAAGATTTTTGCAGTGTGCTGTGTAATATTTCCTGGCATCAGATCTGCAGCAGCATCTCATATTCTGTCAGTGTGTGTCTGGATGAGTGTGTGTGTTACTACATAAGAAGCTGACTGTGGAATTGGGCAGCAGGTCATGGTAGCCTTATCAGTTTTCATGGCTCCTGTGATAGAGCTAAGTTCCTTCCTGATCGTGTCGCTCTTGTCCCTCAGGAGAAGTGTGTCAGTTCAGCTTTTAGAAGCTGCTGATGAGGCGGCTGATGAATACAAATTCATTTTGTTGTGGGACTTTGAAGCGCTGCTGGCTGCATGGATAACCACGATTAGTCTAACTGAATGAATTTTCTATTCAGGTGAATGAGTTTATGCTTCTTTCTACTCCTGTTCATTCTTGATTTCTTTTAAGTATTACATAATTTAAAGTTTAGATATTACACACAATTTGTTTTTGTTCCAAGAACAAATTGTGTTTTTTCTCCAAAAGTAATCTCAAAATCCAATTTGGCTGCTGTGTCTTTAAAATATGGTGATCGCTATGAAACAAACTATTTTATCTACATTTCTGAGAGTTTTGTTTCCTAAAATGCAGAGTAATGCATAGTATGTTTCATACTATGGGGGGTCAAAGAAAAGTTTCACTCTGAGACCTGATTTCAAAATGATCACAAGAGTCGTGTAAGCGAGCGGCTGAATCATAACCAAAGTGTTACGGATTCCCTGAAAACCAGCTCAGTGTAAACAGAGCCGTATGAAGCTCAAGTGAAGTGGGATCTTGCGCACGACGTCATTTTCACTCACTGACCGGATTGAGGATTATTTAGACTTTACAACATAACTGGCATTAATTCAGGCTTTTTATTCTTTGTTTTCAGGTAATGAGCCATCGCCCTTGGGCTCAGTAGAGAGCTACAACCCAGTGAAGCGGCGCTGGGAGTATGTGGCCCCCATGCCCACTGCACGATGCTCTTCTGCTCTGCTGCAGACGACCAGCATCCTCTTTGTGATTGGAGGAGTTGCCCAAGGACCCAGTAACGCTGTGGAAGCTCTCTGCTTACAGGAAACAGTGTGATGCAGGCACAAAAAACCCTTAAATTATTGCAAACAGGAACCAGTATTTTCTTCACTGTAGAACATGCAGCAGTTGGACCGCACTCGGATGCTTTCTTACTTTGATCGGCAACAATGGATTCCACTTACACATTGGGAAGTCAACGACTTGTTTTGGCATTGAAGAAGTGTTTTCAGAGCCGGACCGTGCAGCAGGTTGCTATGACTGGCAAAAACAGGAAACTGACAGCTTTTATACTCCGGGAAAATCAGAGCGAGAAAAAAATGAGCCAAATAACAAACCGACACAGACCCGGTTTCTGAAGAAGCAACTCGGCTTTGAACTGTTGAGCATTTTTCAGAATAAAAACAGGGTACTTTTCTGGATACTAAAAGGAACATAGGGCCATATCTGAAACTCTTCTTAGCAGCTCTGCTTTCATGGCAACACATCACTCCGACTCTTTTCTAGAACCTCAGAGGCTGCACTTGGTTAAGGTGTAGATGGCGCCATTCAGAGAGTGTGGATGTCTGTTGTAGTTCTGTGTTCTGTTAGAGTGCTGTAAGTGTGAACACTAACGCTGCTAACAATCTCTACAACAGCGTCAACAACGATGTTTTCTTACATGCCTTCACACAACGAGCGAGTCAAAGGCCTGCCAGTCAGAAAAAAACATCCAATGTGTTCCAACAGGGGCCCCATCTTGAGCACAATCACAGCTTCCTTGATTGAGGAAATAGTGATTGTGGGTAAGCTTGTCAGCACTTTGCTTCGCCTCACATCTCTCCATCTCTACACCACACCAATCAATCACAGAACTCCAACCAGCACTCACATTGCGTTGCAGGGATGATTTTGCTTGGGGGAGTGAATGTGTAGTTACCTGCTGCACTGAAGCATCCTGGGAAATCAGCTTTTTGTCACATGATGGGGTATTTTCTCTTTAAATTTGACAGTTCACTTTATTACAAATGTCAGCTTGATGTCAGTGGGATGATGGATGTGGATGTTTTGAGGTAATCATACCAGAGTTTACTAAGAAAACACTGAGACGGAGACAAAATCGTACAACATGTTGAAGTTAGGATACTATTTTAATCTATGATTTTTTTAAACTCTTGAAGTATTATTATTTCAAGGCATTTCTACAAGTGCAGCAGTCCTGCTGCTGGGATTGCCAAATAAAATGCTTGTATTTTAGAGGTCCAACCGATACAAGCAAAATTTAATCATTGATGCTTTTTCAGAAATTAAGAGCAAAAGTTGCAGTCAGCCTCTTCAAGTCAAAAACTTTGTGTTTTTCCTTTCTGAACACAATGTCAAGCAGGAATGAGAGACACAGTGTTGGTGCAGTGCTTAAGAATTAGCAGATGTAATGTTTATGATTAATTGCGTAGGGTTAGCGCAACTCATGGTATTGGCTTTCAGGTTGAGTTGGTGGTAATTTTGTCACTTTTTTCTGTTTGTACACGGAGCAGAGTTAGAATAACTGTTGAATTAATAAAATTAATAAAATCAGTGAAGGTTAGGTGAAAGGCTTTTAAAATTCCTCAGAAATAATCAAGTCATGTGGTTTTATTCAAGTTGATTAATAGGTGAATTAAGTCATACGTCGCTTGCTGATGTTCACCATTATTATTTTACCAGACTTTCTACCTCCCTTTCTGGGAGCATTGTTCGTGAAAGCACTCAAATTGTCAGTGAGCAGCTTCTCCGTTTACACCCGATGGATTATAAAACAGCAGTCAGTCTCTGCTGGTTAAAGAAAAAAAAAAAAACGACAATTTGCATTATAAAGCTGAGTCAATATTGTGTGAAACATGTAAAAACTCCTGTTTCCATCACAGTTGGAGTCAGTTTAGCTCTGTAGGTGAAATTTGTTTCAGTTCATTGCTGCCTGGAGAAAGTTTAATTGAAATTGTCAGTTTATTAGGAGGCATGTTAGAACAAAGACGTGGAAATTAAAGCTGGTTTTGTCTAGTTTTAAAGAGAATTTATAGATCATACTTATCTTTAACAGTCTAACTCAAGGCAAAAGTTGAGCCACACCCACTTATCTAACTGTAAGGAGTGTCATTTATTAAGTAAAATCAAATGATTTGGCAAAATGTCTCCAGATCATTTCGATTCATTACACAAGGAGAGAGCCGCCTCTGGCCGTCGTTAAAAGAGTTTAGTCTTTGTGTTGGACACACGCTCACCCTGTTCAGCGTCTCGTCCTGCTCGCAGGTTTTTCTTGCCTGTTTGGTGACCGACCTCACTAACAGAGTCAGACATCTACTGTTGTTGGAAAGCTCAGATAAAATACCAGCTGACAAGCCGGTTATTTCTGGTGCTGCACTCCGTGCACCTAATTGGACACATTAGGCACGAGTCACCGTGTATACATCCACAAAACAGTCCACACTTACACTGCTGTCCATACAGGGACTGAGCCTGGATGGATCTGATTCATTTCACCACATATTCAGGTTTATCTTCTTTTTTTTCCCTAAGATTTAACTTAATTAAGACCCAGGCACTGTTTTCATTTTACTTCCTTTGTGGTCTTTTGACCAAAAGTGTTAGGATGTAAAATAACAAGACATAAAAAAGACTCGGGCTGTGTGGGATTTCATTGATATTTCAATGCCACCCTCTGCCTCTGAGAGCCTGTCACATTAAAATAATCCTCAGCATATAAAAAATGGAATAAGTTAATTATCAACTCAGAGGCAGCTGAACTAGTTGCAGGCAAAGCTTGGCAGCAGCTGCCTTCATCTAGCAGACACCATTACATTTCATTTTCAGTGAGGTTTCTGACGGCCTGTGGCTCAACGTGGGTAAACTGTGACTCTTTAGTTCTAACCCAAACCCTGTTCTGCAACCTGACCATTGAGTTGTTTGGTGCTAAACAGATTGCAAACAGTTTAGGTGTGAGAGATTTAGACCAAAAGGTGTCGGGAGCACAACAGTCAGTCAGGTCACGTTTAAGTAATTTTTTGCATAGGCAGATTTAATATTACAAATCTGGCCCACTAGTCCTTTAAATCTGTGTGTAATAGCAGTTAGTCTGAGTTTAAAGGCCTGTGGAACAGAATCCAGTAAAGATCAATTATGTCTTGTTCGCACAGAACGATTTTAAAATGATTGGCTAATTCCCAAACCTTAGAGACCAAAGACATGATAATAGAAAATCTGCGGTGCAACAGTTTTGGTTGTACAGTGTGTGAATCTGCGTCTATGATTGGATTGAAATGACTTATGTATTTATTTGCACAAAGTCGATACTTGTAGTTTTAAGTGCCTTGAAACGACATGGGTTGTGAATCCACCCTATATTAATAAAATTGAGTCGAATGAACAGCAACACATTTGAGGTGCTGACTTGCCCTCCAGATTCCCCAGATCTTAACCCAGTTGAGCTTCTGTAAATCTGATCCAATGAAATGTACAGGCCTTGAAGGATCCACTGCTGTCCTTTAGGAAATTCACTGCTTCAAAAAGCAGAAGTAAAGCATGCTGCTATAGTACATATCCGGAGTGGCATCTGAGGTTTGTGTGCAATAGAGGACCTGATTCTGTAGTGAAAAGGGAAACTGTAAGTTTCTGCTAATGCGAATTACAATGGAAACTTTAGTGTTTTAGATCTGAAGACAAGCAACAACAACGTTCCTGACTGCTTACTTTCTAAATTTGATGGACAACCTAAGCAGCCTCTCTTTTATTTGAAAAGTGAAACAGACAGTAGAAAGCTGGTGCTTTGATTTGCAGAAAGGACACACACATGCTGGGTCATCAAAGCCTGGGATCACAGCATGGGGGGGACTACATTATGATCAAAGCCAATTCAAGGGGCTTATTTTAAACCAAAGAAATTAATTATTTACAGTTGATAAAGGTGTGTAAAAAAATTTTTTACAGCACAGGCTTATCCTCACACTGAAAATGTTTTTGAAAAATCCTACATTTGATTTAAGTACACTTTGACAAAGAAGAAAAATATCCCACTGAAAATTATAGTTACACAATTACTGTTGCTACATTTGTCAGCACTTCTGTGTTTTAAAATTGTATAATAACTTTTGCTGAATAGGACTTTGACCTGTTCATCTTAGATCTTTCCAATCCCTACTTAAACACATTGATATATTGGTCATTCATATCCAGGTGTGTTGGAGTATGAACATGTCTAAAACAGGATGGACAAATGATTGAAATGGGTGATTTACTACCAATCAACTTAGAAACTCTCTACTGCCACCTATTGGCCAGCGTATGAACTACATCTGGCTGATCTTCAACATTTCTATGTAGCTATTCTGAAGAAATAGAATGGCAGGGAGAGTGAAGCGCGCCACATTAAAATAATAATAATAAAAAATACTGTGAAATAATTCTTACATTTTTAAAAACTGGAAATAAATACAGAAATAATTTATTAAATATATAATTAATTATACATGGCTCAATTAAAAGCTAGGTATAAATGTGATTTCATAAGTTCAGGAGTGTCAATGTTAGCGCTACTCTGTTTTGACAATATAATCCACACTAAGACAGAAATGCCCAATTATTCTAAATGTTGCTAATTTGCCTCATACTTAGATATAAATATAATGGGTTTGCTATATTCACATCGATCATCTCTGTTTAATTTAATTGTGTTTTGACACCAAAAATACAATTAATTCATAGTTTTAGCCATTGCTTAATAGCAACATTAGGGTGTTAAAATACACATTAATCAATCAAGTTTCAATTACATTTATTTATTTTTTAGAAATTGTTTTTAGAAAAAAAAACAACAACTCAAAAGAACAGCTCAATTAAAGAAAGCAATTGAAATGAAAAGTTGAAATTTTCAAAAAATATGCCGCTACATGTAAACCTTCAGAATAGATTTGAGCTCAGAGTTAAAAGCAGCCTGTTCTCTGCACATCATCACCGCACACAAGCTTTAAAATAGAAAACATTAAGCTGTGCAGCTTTGGCTCAGGCACACTGAGCCTAAGAGTACCTACATCCAAAATTTATGTGCATCTGTGTCATTGTGTCACCTCGTGGATGTGTGTCTTATGCGTCTGCGTGGGCGCATGAATGCAAATCTACACACCCCATGAGGCGTCTGCAGGATTCGTACAGCCCTCCATTGCAGGGATTCTGTCTCTCTAGTTCTCTCATCCATTTTTCCACCTCACCCTGTGGTCCGCGACGAAGTCCTGG